TTACTTCTGACTCCACTGTTAGTTACCTTTCGGTAGTAAGGAACGGACGTAGAGGAGTGGAGGAGTGTGGCCGTTCGGGAGGGAAGGGACGGAGGCGGGCGGGGGGGGGGCGGTGCTGTGATGGGGCTGGAGCCTGACAAATTGGAGCCACCCTCTTCCCTCCCTGGGTAGGAACAACAGAAGGCCAGAGGGAGGCTCCTGGCACCTGCAGTGCAGGAATCTCTGGCATGTGGCCCTGAGCCCATGTTTCCAAAGGTCACCTTCCCCCTAGGGCTGGGAGGCTGGGTGGGGTGCAAATTCAGACATGGGACTCAGGGGTGACCTGGCCGGCATTTGAGAGTTCAGGGGCCTCTCTTCCCTCAGCTCTGGCGGTGGAACGGACACTGGCCTGCCCACACCAGAGTCCTGCCCATCTCCCTCCCAGTGGTGGGCTGGGCTTGAGGGGGAGGGTACACTTACATTTTCAGGTCTTTCAAGCCCTTGGCCTGTTGGGCAGCCTGACTAACCAGCTCCTCCAGGCCCAGGGGTGTTGGGGAAAGGGGTGTGGCCGGAGGCAGCCAGGCCAGCCCCAGGCTGTGGATGTGGATGTGGAAGAGGCCCTGTGCTCAGCAGGCCGGAGGCTGTCATGGGCCTCCCCTGGCTGCTGCTGCTCGTGGTGCTGGTCTGGGTCCAGCCCTGCCGGGGTCTGGGTAAGTGAGGGTCCCGGGAAGGGTGCGCCTGGCCAGGCCCCCGGGGCTGGGGCACCTGCTGGAGTGATTGGACGTGGGAACCCACCCCCTCTAATTGGGAGAGGCAGCCCCAGGGGCAGCAGGTCCTGGACCCTCACGCCTGTCTCCACGGCCACAGAGCTCATCCCCTACACGCCGCAGATAACAGCCTGGGACCTGGAAGGGAAGGTCACAGCCACCACGTTCTCCCTGGAGCAGCCGCGCTGTGTCCTGGACGGGCACGCCAGTGCTGCCAACACCGTCTGGCTGGTGGTGGCCTTCAGTAACGGTGTGTCCTGGTGCAGGTCTGGGGTCCAGGGTGGAGGTGGGGAGAGCTGCGGGGTCCTGGGAGCCCCTCACAATGGAGTATGGCTTGGGAGTTTGAGCTTTATCCTAAAGGGGCTCTGAGAGGTGACAAATTCTGATTTGGGTCTGGAGGGGCGCTCTGGGCCCTGAAGCATGGAGGCGCAGGGCTGGAGGCATTGGACCCAGTCAGGGGCTACAGTGAGGAAGGTCCGGTCTTCACCTATCTTCCGGCCCCATCTGTCTGACTCTCCCTCCTGCAGCCTCCAGGGACTTCCAGAACCCGCAGACACTGGCTGAGATCCCAGCCTCCCCAAGGCTGCTGACCGATGGCCACTATATGACACTGCCCCTGACCCTGGACCAGCTGCCCTGTGAGGACCCAGTGGGTGGCAGCAGGAGAGCCCCTGTGCTTAGGGTGGGCAATGACACCAGCTGCCTTGCTGACTTTCACCAGCCACCCTACTGCAACGCCCCCCTCCCCAGCCCTGGACCTTACAGGTGGGTCGCCGGACCTGGACCCTGGAAGGGGGCTGTGCTGGGAGAGGAGGGGTTTCAGGGACCAGGGCTTCCCCTAGGCCTCTGTCCTGGTCCTGCCCCTTCCTGTCTGCTGGTTGAGCAAGCCCCTCTCCTTCACAAGCCTTGGTTTCTTCCTCTGTTGGGTAGGTGCAGCTAGGGCTCAGGCAGAATGAGGCCTCTCCAGGAGGCCCACAAGGAGGAGGTGGGCATCACAGAACCAGTGGGGGTGGGGGTGGGGTGAGGTGGGGTCCACAGACACCAGAGCAGGGGCGAAGCTGCAGTAATGGCCCCACCCACAGTTAGATCTGGCAGGAAACTAAGCCTGGGGCTGAGTTCTGGGCCAGTCAGTGGGTTTCAGGCAGGGAAGCAGGAGAGAAGACTGCCATCCACTTTTACAGGTGGAGAAGCAGGCATTCAGAACACGTGGCTTGTCCAGGTCAGGGGTGGAGCTGGGGTGAGAAAGCAGGTGTCCAGATGAGGGCTGCCCTGCCCAGGACAAAGCCAGGGATGTCCTCAGGGAGACCAAGTCTGTGGCTGGGGAACCCAAACCGGCAGGCGGTACAGGGAAGGTGGGAGGAGGTGTAGCCTCCATCCCCCACCTCCTTCTACCCTCTCACCCAGCCCGGCCAGGTCCACCCTCCCCGTGGCCACTCCCTGGCTCCAGTTACACCCCCTGCCTCACCCCCAGCAGCCACCAGGGCCAGCTTCCCTCAGTGCCAGCCTGCCTAGGTCCCTCGCTGCTCAGAAACCTTCCAGAGCCCCCACCTGAGCTCCACATGGCCCTCCGAGCTCAGCCTGCCCTGTCCCATGATCCTGGGCTCCGCGCGCACGCTGACCACACCCCTCCCTCCCTGGCCTTTGCCTGGGGTGCCCACCCCTACAGGGGGCCCTCTGTGGCCTCATGGACTCCACAGAGCCAGCAGTTCTCCTCTGGGAAGCCAGGGGCCCCCAGCCCCATGCACCCTGCTGACCCACCCTGTACGTGACATTTAGTTACCAGGCACCCCCTCAACTAGAAAGAGTGTCTGGAGAGCACTGGTTCAGATAGTCTGGGGCTGCTGGCAGAGGGCACTGTGGCCGGAGAGGTCTCAGAGGGTTCTTAGAGTGGGGCCAGGCCGTGGCTGGGCCTGATGTGTCTGCCCCCATACACAGAAAGGCCACAGCCTGGCCCCCAGGAGCTGCCTGGGGCCTGGCTGAGGTGGTGCCCTGCCCAGGGTAGTTAAGGCTCTGAGTCTCACTCCTCCTCCTCTCCCCAGGGTGAAGTTCCTCCTGCTGGACCCCAGGGGCTCACCCCAGGCCGAGACAAGGTGGTCCGACCCCATCGCTCTCCACCAAGGTAGTGCTGGGGGAGGGGCGCTCTGGGTCCAGTCTGCCCCCGTGGACTGGTTGCTCTCTGCACCATGGTCGCACCTAGCTGGCCCCTCCTCCTGCTGCCATGGGACTGGGGGCCCAGAGGCAGGGTCCATGTCCAGCACTCCCACCTCTTAAATAGAACCTTGTGCTGGAGGGTGAGGCCCTAGGTCAGCCCCATCGGCAGAGACACCAGCTCTGTCCACCTCGAAATGTTTGCCAACCCTTGGGTGCCCAGGCCCCAGCCCAGTCATGAACAGAAACAGTCTTTCCCTCCTTCAGGGAGCCAACCCCATGCCCAACACTGCCGGGTAGAGGAGAAGGATCAGGGCAAGAAGGAGGCCGGAGGCGGTCAGGACCTTGGGTCCTGGGAGGCCTCCCTCAGCAGGGCCCTAAGAGGCCGGTGATTCACTAGGCCGAGGAAACTGCATGTCAAAGGCCAGAGTGTTCCATGTAGGGGGTGCCTGGGAGACAGGCTGCGGAGACCAGGGGTGGTGGTGATGGTGGTGGGTCTTGTCATGTGAAGGCCTTGAATGCCAGGCTCTAGGTAGCAGGACAGCCACATGTCAGTCCTGAGCTCTGGGCAGGGCAGTGGGTGGGCACATTGGTGGGAACAGCCCAGCAAATGAGGCTAGGGCAGAGGCTGGAGCAATGGGTGGTCCAGGCTGGCAGAGCACAGATGCCCAGCTGAGAGGGACAGTTGGGTGAGTTAAAGAGGCTGGCTGGCGATGGGAGGCAGTCAACCTTAGGTGTGAGCATGGTGGGGAGGTGACTGCCCTGGGATCCAGGGGCAGTCTCTGAGAGCCACTTCGTGTGCAGGGAAGTCCCCAGGCTCCATTGATACTTGGCCAGGGCGGCGAAGCGGTGACATGATCATCATAACCTCCATCCTCTCTTCTCTGGCCGGCCTCCTGCTCCTGGCCTTCCTGGCTGCCTCCACCACGCGCTTGTGAGTGGTGACACCCACAAGGGCCCCCCTCCCACCCAGAGCCCCTTCCCTCTCACTGGCCCCAGCACCTGGAAGCCCCCCATGAGCCCTGTGGTTTTAAGTTGGGCGGTGCTCCTTCCAGGGATGTGCAGGGAATTTCTACCCTAAGAATCTCTCAACTGGGAGGCCAGGGAGGTGGTCCAGCAGCTCCTCTGATGACAGGATCAGAGAAGGGGCCACCTGGCACTATTCAGACCCTTCTCCTCCTGGGCCTTGTTTTCTTTCCGATGAGCCCTCTGTCATTTCAGTGAACTGACACCCAGGTAGTCAGGGTGGCCACCTGGAGGAGGCAGGTCTCCAGCTGGCTCTACAAGGGAAGAAAGGGAGATCAGAGGCTGCAAGAGGAGGACTCTGGGAGTGGGGAAGGCGATGCTCAGCAGCCTGCTTCACTGGACAGGGACCCAGCACCTCTTCCTCTCCCTGTCCAGCTCCAGCCTGTGGTGGCCGGAGGAGGCCCCGGAGCAGCTGCGCATCGGCTCCTTCATGGGGAAGCGCTACATAACCCACCACATCCCACCCAGCGAGGCTGCCACCCTGCCCGTGGGCTGTGAGCCTGGTCTGGAACCCCTGCCCAGCCTCAGCCCCTAGCCTGGCCCATGTGGCTGGGGCTGGGGCAGCGGGGACATGGCAGGGACCAGCACACAGTGCAGGTCCGCAGGCCCTGCAACCCATGCTCCCTCTTCCATCCTGCTTCCCTACCCTGCCTGAAACCCGACCACTAACAGCCCTGCCTTTGGCTTTCCCATTTCCCGCTTCTCCAGCCAATGAGGTTGTATTTAAGGGAGGGCTGTGGTCAGGCTGGGCATCCAGCCCCCTCCTCCACTCCTGTCTGCCTCCTACAAGTGAATGAGTGATTGAGATGAGGTGATGTGGAGAGACACATGGAGAGACCCCCAGCTGGAGGCCTGCAGGGGGCCTTGCTCTGCCCTGTGCAGGGGGCTGGGCTGGGCCCATCATGGTCTCCCTCTGTCCCTCTGTCCCACCCACCACTCACTCTCACTCCAAACATTTACTGAGCACCTGCTGCATGCCACGCAGTGTTAGACTGGGGCCCTCGCGGTCCTGATCTTAGGGAGCTGGCTCACTGCTCTGCGCCTCCTGTGACCACGTATCCTGATGTGAGCTGTTACTGTTGGGGGGCTGTCACTCCCTCAGACTGTCAGATACCTTCGGGCTCTCACTCCTCAGATGAGCACTCCAATGGGCTCTTGCGGGTCCACGATCACCCAGGAGGACAGGCTTCAGACTCTCCCGCGTCTATCCATCCGCCCGCAAGGCCAGTGGTTTCCTTATGGCCACAAGAGGGCGCCAGTGTACCTCAGCCGCAGGGTCCCGCGCGTGCGCACTCCTATGCGCGGCAGCACGTCCCGCGGGATGTTCAGGAGCCGCAGCCGCTCAGCTGGACTTCAGGACTCCAGGTCTCACCTCGACCTAGCCAGAGAGGTGAGCAGTCACGCTCTCGCTTAAGGATTTATGGTGTGTCGTCCAATCCGCACAGCTGCCACCGTTGTCTAGATGGAAAAACAGGCACAGTGACCTGCCCGTCGCGCTCTGTCCACTGTCACCCCACCCCGTGTCCCCCCGGCCGCTCCCGGGCCCTCTAGTCTGACTGCGGCTTCCAGCGTGCAGGCGCCCCCGGAGAAGGGCAGCTGGCGGCGGTGGTCAGCGTGGGGTCCCTGCTCTCTGGAGATGAATAAATACGGTCTGGTTCCTCCATCCCAGTGGTGTTCAGCGCTGGTTCTGGGAGAGGAGCATTTACATGCGAAACCCAGCCTGGCCTGTCCAGCCTGCCCCTGACATCAGACCCGGGGCTGCCCTGAGCTTGTCCCCTAGATAGCTAGCCTTAACTGTACGTTTGGGGTGACCCCGTCTCCGGATGGCCTCAGGGAAGCCCACCCCTGTGTTGCTGGGCCAGGAAGCCCCCCACTAACGCAGGTGGACTTAGCAGTGCTTCCTCCCAGGCAAACACTTCAAAGGGATCTGCTTTCAAAAGCCATGCACCTCTGGTCCCTGGTGGTCTTTCTCCCATCCTGCCTGCACCTCAGCCAGCCACAAGACCCCCTCCAGGTGTAGACAGAGCAGGTTCAGATGCAGTCAGGAGCTCAGGCCCTGGTGCCCTGGGTGACACCTGGCCATGGGAACCAGCCTTTGGGCAGCCACTTTTGAAAATCTGCTAGTGTAGAGCCCAGGTCCTCTTGGATTCTTAAAATTGGAGGAAGGTTAAACGCTGGCTGCCACCGGCAGCCCTCCCATGACGACCTGCCCAGACCTGGCTCCGACACCAGACAGGAGAGCCCTCAAGGCCCAGGATGTGGTGGGGTGGTAGAGGGGTCCACTGGCATTCCCTGAGTGAAAAGATGAATGAACCTGCCCAACGCTGAAGGATCAGCAGGGAGCAGGAATTGCCCCAGGCTCTGGGGTGTCCCTGTGGTCCTTTTGTGGCTTGTTCTTAGTACCAGAATCTGTGCCAGTCCCAGGACCTGTGATGTCCTGTGTATGCCCAGGGCTGCCCCTCACTTCTGAACAGCATCTTGGAGCCCTCTGAGGAGCTACCCTCACCCCATCAGGGCCACCTGGGGCTTGACTGTGGTGACAGGCTCTGAACAGACACTGCAACATGGTGGTTGAAAACTGGACAAGGGAGCCCAAGGGAGACAAGTGATTCCATCTGAGGGTCAAGGCGACTTCCTAGGGGTGAGGTGACTCTAGAGGCACATGTAAATTAGTCAAGTAGAAAGGAAAGAAGGAAGGAGGAAGAGAGGGTGCGACTCAGGGAGATCAGGTGTAAATAGTGTTGCCCTGCGTGGCGAGGATAGTGCCTGGGGGCCCTGGCAGCAGGGACTGGGGGCTGGGAGTCCAGTGAGAGGGAGGCTGGCCTGGACTTCCAGGCAGGTAGAATCAGCCCTGAACCAGGGCAGATGAAGCAGGTTGGAGAGGAAGAGGTGGATCCTAGAAATATTCGGGCGGTGGCTGGAGGAATCAGGGAATTCTTAGATGTGGGAGATAAGCCAGAAGGCAAGGTCCTGCACAGGTTTCTGATGTGAGGATGGATTTGAATGCAAAGTGGGGCCCTCGATTTTCTGAAAGTGGAGATCAGAAAGCAGATCTTCAGAAAAGGGAGTTCTGGGGCCATCATCTTAGCAGCTTGGTGAGTCCATGAGAGCACTAACAAATTGTTAATATTTTACAAAGATGGAAGCCAATGCTGGTCAGCGGGAGGCGACCCTGTGAGCCTCCCTAGCTGCAGATGTTCTGCTCCAGGGCTGTGCTAGCAAGCATGCCCGGGCTGCACAGAAGCCACACAGAGAAGGGGCGGGGGGACCAGTCATCGCCCAGCACAGGCACCATCACGCTGGGCCCCAGGGAGCCGTGCCCGGGCCTTCTGCCTCAGAGTCACGCTCGAGAGGGTCATCAGCCAGACCTCAGCCCTGCAAGGGCCAGCTCATGACAGCCTTGAGCAAAGTGCACAGAGAGAACTACATTGTGGCAAATTTCATTCAATGATGTTTTAAATTTTCTCCAGGACCATATTTGGGGAAGTGCCTCCAAAGCCATTGGCCTGTAACATCACGGCTCAGTGGTTAAAAACAAGTTCATTGTTGAAAAGAAAAAACAGCAGTGATCATGGGTGTGATGACTAGCCTGCGACTCATCAAGCCAGAAGTCAAAGGAATCAGGAGGGCAGCAGGTGGGAACCAGGCAGCCGGGCACCACCCTCCCTCCTTCTCACCCTCCGGGTTCACTCTGTTCCTCTGATCCATCTCACTCCACCATCTCTGCAACCCCCAGGCCAGCCACCCTGGTTTCTTGCTAGTGTCTCAGCAGCCCCTTTGCTGGTCTCCCCACACCAGTGTTCCTGATCCCCACCCTGCTTCTCGCAGCGTCGATTATACACCTAATGGTGTCACACCCTTACTCGCAACTCTCAGACTTTCTTCTGCAAGAAAAGGGTCCAGGTTCACCATCTTAGTTGTGAGGCCCCACGATCCATCCCTTGCTCCCTGTATTCATGCCACATGTGCCCTCCCTTAGCCCCTCCTGCCACAGGGCCTTTGCACTTGCTTTCCCTTCAATGTAGAACATTCCTCCACGTCACTCCCCTTCCCCTAGACCAGTCCTCAGCTCCACTTTCACTGCTTCAAGGAAGCCCTTCCTGATCCCTCAGCTCTCCTAGAGCCATGTTCTTTTCCTTCTCAGCACATTTTCTTTCTGTTTTGTAATTAGACATTTGAAACAATGAGCTTTCGCTTCACCTCCATTAAACTGTGAACTCCAGGAAGGCAGGGACCACATCTGGTTTGCTCACCAGGGTGCGCTAGAGCTAGCACAGAGCCCGGCCCCCAGTAGGTGCTTAATTAATATTCATTGACTGAATGCTTTTTAAACAGCAAATACATCTTCACACTGGCCAGAATGGGCTGGCCAGGGCACCTGCTTCTTTGCCTGGTGTGGGTGCATGACGGGTGGGCATCTTGGCTGCACGGGAGCCTGGCAAGTCCCACCTTCTGGCTGCCACAGTGAGAGGTGCAGACTCGGGCCCCCACCATAGGTGGGGCTCCTGGATGGGGGGAGGGGGCCAAGTCCATGGCAGGAAGAGACACCCTTTTGTGCTTCTCACAAAGACATCACGTGGCAAGTGCTGGCAGGGGGAACACAGCAGTAGGAGAGTGATGTCCCAGACATGAGACAGGTGTTGCAGGAGCTGGGCAGTCAGAATGGCAACCATCTGTCACCCCCAGGAAGGTGGCCGGTCCGCAGGCCCTGAGGGAGCACCAAGAGCTCATGCTTGGTGTTAAGCTCACAGAAATGAAAGAATTTCATTACCTGCTGGGAGTTCTTCAGAGCCTTGCTGGGGTTGTGACTATCTGCCTTCTAGAAGGGGCCCCAGGACCAGTGCCACAGCCTTTGGGACTGTTCACTGCTGCCACCTCAGAGCCCCCCATCCTCCCAGGATGGCGACTCAAGAACCCCCGGCAAAACTCGGCCCCTTCTACTGTCCCTAGGAGGAAGCTGGAGGGCAGAGAGGGCACATCCACCTCCTGGCCAGCCCAGCCCACTGCCTCCCAGCCTGGAGCCCCTCCTGTCCCCACCCACAGCAGTCAGGGGAGCCTGTGGTGGAGGGCAGGGCCAGCACCACCTTCTCAGGAGGGGCTGGCATGAAACAGGAGCAGAGAGACAGGCCACACCTCCCTGCTCATTCTGCAGCCCGGCCACCCCACCCAGTCCCTTGGTGGGTGGGGGAGGGGAGGAGCGGTTTGGGGATGGGGGAGGGAGGGAGGGGGCAGTTGCTGGGCACCTACTCCTGGGCAGGACAGCAGACTTAAGGACCCAGCCCAGAGACCCTACAGGCCATGCAGAGGGCTCAGATCCAGTCCCTGTCCTTAGAGACTGTCCCACTCACTGAGGGGAGAAGGGGAGGCACACAGACTGTTACAGACTGAACTGTGTTCCTCAAAATTCTTATGTTGAAGCCCTACCTAACCCCCAGTGCCGCAGATGTGGCTGTATTGGGAGTTAGGGTCTTTAAAGAAGCAATTAAGATAAGAGGTGATTAGGCAAATACTTCAGGGTAAGCTGTAATCCAATCGGACTGGTGTCCTTACAGGAAGAGATAAGGATACAGAGACACCAGGGATGCGGCAGAGGGAAGACCAAAGGAAGAGGGAGCGAGAGGGCGGCTGTCTGCCAGCCGAGGAGAGAGGCCTCCGAAGAAGTCAGCCCTGCTGACGTGGTCTTGGTTTTCCAGCCTCCAGAACCGTGAAAACATAAACGTCTGTTGTTTAAGTAGCCTGGTCGGTGCCATTTGGCTCAGGCGGCTGGGCTGCGGGGGACTAACCCCCCACCGTCACGGCGCGGTGTCGGTGTCCGGGTGCTGAGAAGTAGTGGGGGAGGAGCGCGCAGGGCAGGGGCCAGTGACGAGTGCGAGGGGCACAGCAGGAACAGCGTGTGCAGAGGCTTGGAGGCAGGAAGGGCCTGGCTCACACTGGCCCCTCGAGCCAGCTTTCTGGGCCGCCTTCTCCCCACCCTGCTGAGAAGCCAGAGACCACTGTAGCCGCGTCCTGGCCCTCCCCTTTTGACCACCCCTGCCACTGGTCCCAGCCTGGACAACCCCTGACTCCTAGGGGCAGGAGCCCAGGGTTTCCCCTTTATGCTTCATTTGCTGAGGGAGTCCTGCCAGGCAGCCCTGCCCACCTTCCCTGGCCTCGGTCGGTCTCCCCCTGTAAGATGAGTGACGATTTCTAAGCTCCCTGACCCGACACACTCTGGTCCCCTCCTCCCCGAAACCCCACTCCCTAGGGGTGACGCAGGCTGGAGTTATCCACAGGAAAGAATGTGTTGCCCTTGACAACCATTCTTCTCCCTGACTTCTCCCCATAAGGGACAGAGAGGAATGTCCCATTAATCATCCTGGCCTCTCCCTCCCTATCTCCAGCTCCCCTCTCTCTGCTCCCCAGTGGCAATGGCCCGCTGGGTTTTGTGGAGGATGGTGCAAAGCATCCTCCATGAGGGTTTCATGAAAGCTCCTGGCTCAGATTTGCCCTCCGATCCCTGTCCTTTTGGAGCCCTGACTCCAGGGGGCCAGGGCAGTGGGCCAGCCTCCAGGGCAGGGATAGGATGGGGCTGAGACATGAGGTCCTCTACCAGGCAGAGCTGGGACACAGACAAAACCCAGCACAGAAAGTACAGTATAAGGAAAAGGACCTGTGATGGGGCACCAAGGCAGCGGTGGGATCCTAGAGGAGGCATCTGGCCTGGCCTAGGGGAAGTGGGGGCACCAGGGGGGACCTCCTGGAGGAGGTGGGGTCTGTGCTGAAGACTTCATCGAGGATGGAAGGGAGGAAGGTAGGGAATCAGGCATTAGAGTGGGTTTGTTGTTGAGGGGCCCAGCTGGCTGGGATGAGGTGGGTGTGAGGCTAGAGGGTCGAGAGGGAGTCAAAGCCAAAATCTGGACAGTGATATGCATGGCCCCACACCATATGTGCTGCCCCTTGGCCTCGAGGACCTAACCTACCCCTTTCCTCTCTCCTTAGTTAATCCCCCAGCTACATTGGCCCCAGCAAACCCACCACTGCCACGATGCTCCCTCCTCAGGGTCTACGTGGGTTGTTCCAAGGAGAGGCCCTGGTATTTCCACCCACCCCTGTATGGACACTGCCCTGCCATCAGGGGCATCCCCTCCCCTGCCCTGGAGCCTGGGCTGTCCCGGGCTTTGCTCTGGCCGCAGGGTGCAGCTGCAGTGATGCTCTCTGACTGTCAGGCCCAGCCCTTGAGAGTCCTGCCAACTTCCATTTTTGTCATCTTGGGATTCTCACTGCCAGGTAGAGAAGCTTAAGCTGGACCACTGAACAATGAGCAGCCTCATGGAGAGAGAAAGAGGGTAGAGGGAGAGGATGAGAGGAGGCAGAGGTTCAAACAGCTCTCAGCAGCTCCAGCCACCCCAGACACGTGAGTGACGCCAAGCTCCAGCTGGAGGCAGCCCTATGACTCCAGGTGACACAGAAGAACTGACAGCAGAGCCCAGCCCAGCTACAGGATTACAAGAGATGATAAAGTGACTATTGTTTTCAGCCTCAAAGCTTTGAGGGGGGTGTTCTTACAGAGCAATAGACAACTGTCCTGGGCCTCTGCACCTGCTGACCCCTCTGCCAATAGCGCACCTTCTCCAGAGTCCCAAGGTTCTCCCTCTCCTGGGTCATCAGGCTCCGTTCATATGTCACCTTGTCAGGGTTCCGCCATCTCTCTGCCTAAAATAGCCCCCATCTCCCACAACTCTCACCTCTCAGCTTTGGTTCCTCAAAGCCTGTCTCACCACCAGAAGTTTCATGATACCTGAATATGTTTATTTGCTCTCTGTCTCTCCCAACTAGGATGTCAGCTGGGTTTTTGTTCCCTGGGGTACCCCAGAGCCTGGCACAGAGCAGGGGCTCTGTGACGGCCTGTCGGAGGAATGAATAGGTAAAGTGGCCCCCATTTCCCCAGCCCCTGCTTCTCCTGATCTTCTGCCCGCAGCCTGTGCCCACAGTGGTCCCGGCACACAGCAGAGCCTCGATAAACAGTGTGTTAGTTGCACCGAATGTAACCACTCAAAAGGCTTCAGTGTTCTGACCCCCAGCTGCCTGGTGTCCAGAGCAGGAAGGAACTGGCCCCAGACTTGGGATCAGGGCTGAGCCAGGGTGGCTGCCTGTTGGCCCGAAATTGTGAGATATTACTCAAAGGAGGCATTCTCCTACTGACAGAGCTTTGTGGTTATGATCCTGGGTGGAGGATGCTTTAACTAGACTGGGGAGGTGGTGAGCTGCCTGTCATGAGGGATGCCCGACAGACTTGGAAGGGGCTGGACCACTGCGCAGTAGAAGGATTCAGGGCCAGGGTGCAGTAAGCGAACTGTGGGGTCTTTTACCCTTGATGTTAGCACAGATGGGTGTCTGTTAGGGTCTGTCGAGTGGCCCTGAGGCCAAGCAGGTGGGGGGGGAGGGACTGGGTCACCTGCATTTTCCCTGTCTGCCCAAAGTCCCAGGCTGCAGATCTGGGGCCTCTCTCTGCTGGGGACGGTGGGGAAGAGCCTGGCTACCTTTGGAGGGTCCCAGAGCTCTCTGTGTGCTCCTCCTCAGGACCGGGTGTGATGGTTGCTGTGGAGCTGGGACCTTGTTTGGTGACATCAGCTGGGTGGGCCTTTGGGAGCATTTAGCCAGCTGCTCTGTGTGAGGGGGCGGGTGGGAGCCCCACCCTGTCTCATGAGTCACCCCAAAGGCACACAGCAAGGTAGGTCCTGGGAATAGTATTCCCCAGGGCTTCGCATGTCCCATCCACCCCTAGCCCTCCTGGCCCCTCTTGGCATCCTAGTCCCACGCCCTTCACACTGAGACGCGCTGGGGCTGGGGATGTCTGGATCAGGAAGAGGGGACACAGCAGAGAAGCTGGCCTCTGCCCAGAAGCCACGACATTCTAGCGGTCAGCTTGATGCTGTGGAACAAGATGGCACCCACGGGCCACCTGGCCAGATACACAGAGCAGGGAGGTGTCCAAATTTACAGTCAGAATAATTATTGAGCACAAGGAGACAGTGGGAAAGCTAAATAGACCTGATCCCTGCCCTCAGGCAGTTACAGTTTGATGGGGAAAAGTGGCATTCACCAGGTGATGGTCTAGCCAGTCGGCGACTCGTGAATATGAGGGATCAACTACACTGCGGCAGCATAAAACCTAGTGGAAAGTTACAGTGACTAAAATGGTCTGACGCTGATGCTTGAATAGACAGACTGATCCAAGGAATAAATCAGAAAGTTCAGAACTTGACAGACTTGACCTGAACAAACCCACGTGCACACACACGGATCAGGCTTGAGTGTCTCCATGACCCTTGAGGGTAAGATGCATCAGAGTTCTTGTCTAAATCAGAGCAACCCTGCTTCCTGGGGTCCACTCCCTTAGGCCGTGGGGCCATTTTGGTCTCTTTGTGTGGCTTCTCTCCCCTCCGGAGCTTGTGCCACAGCCCCAGCGCTGACCCAAGGCTTGGAAAATGGCAGAGGGTGGGGAGATGGGGTCTCTGGCTTTGGGTCTGCCCCAGTCCCCCTTGTCGCTGTCGTCATTTCTGCCACACAAGGGCACTGCTGGGAGCTGCTTACTCTGGTGACTGACTAGTTGTCCCCAAGTAGGAGCAGGCCCCTGTCCAGATCTGTGGGAGGAAGTGTCCCCCAGCCTGGCCGGGTCTTGGCTTGTCTCCTGCCTACCTCCCCTGTTGTCACTGGCAGCACCCCCGGGGTGAATGGGGACTCCTCAAGCCTCAAGGGTCTGGGAAGGAGCCCTCATATCTGGGCCTGGGTGGGACAAACAGAGCCAGCTGGTGCCCTGAGTGGGCTGTGGATATGGACACCCCTGGGACACGTGAGAACTTGTCCCAGATCAAGTGGAGAGGAGACACTGAGGATTGCGTGCATCAGTGGCGTGTGATTAAAAAAAGCATCTCAAATCAATAGGGAAAGGACTGATTTTTCTGTATTTTAGGCTTTTTTCAGTATTTTGGAGGTTTTTGGAGACTTCATCACATAGGCATGATTGATTAAACCATTGGCCATTGATCATTAATTCAACCTCTGGCCCCTATCTCCTGCCCCCGGGGGTGGAGGGGCTGTGGCTGAAAGTGCTAACCCTCTAATCACGTGGCTGGTTCCCCTGGCAACCAGCCCCCATCATGTGGTTATCTAGAGACGTTCCAAAAATCACCACAGTGACATAAATTCAGGTGTGGTTGAAACGGGCTTGTTATAAAAAAACGAAAACACTCATTTCACCTGTATCACTCTGGAGCAATTTCAGGAAACAAAAGATGCTCCTTTAGGAGCTGTGTGCTGGGTACCACAAAGACCATATACATATCCCAGCACCATAGGTAACTGATACACTGAGGAGAGCAGACGCCTTGGTGGGGAGGCCAGGAGAGGGACAGAGATGGGCATGAAAAATAAAAGGCTCCCGGGACCCACACCCGGACTCACTTTGACCTCATCTGCCTTCCCTGAGCTCTTCTGCTCTGGTTTTGGCCCCAGGTTCACCTGGGACTGAGTCAGTCATTGGTGAAATGCAGTGGTGTTCAATCTGGAAAAGTCTGGAACTATCTGCTAGCACATCCTAGTAAAGCACTGGTCTCAAAAAACCTACTAGGTAATTACACAGTGTTGAAAGGAATGTTTTCCTTTTTTGACATTTACTGCAATAAACAATTGTCACAGTTTAAGTATATTTGGAAAGTGCAGGTGGGCTGGCAATCAAATAGATTATGTCTTTGATTATATAGAGATGTAAGTCAAATGCATTACAATAACTAAAGGATAATTTTAAGTAATTGTTTTTTAAATATTTTTAAGTGTTCCCTGAAGGAGTCTGAATTTTAGGAGGGTGGCTCTGGTCAGGTGTGGAGCTGGGCTGAGGTGGGCTGGTGCTTGGGGCAGGGAGCCCCCGTGAGAGGCTGCCGCTCCAGCCCAGGTGAGGGCTGGTCAGTGCCTGCTCTGCCCACCTGCCCTGAGCCCCATCCGGGAACCCTCTCTTTCAAGGAGGGGTTGCCCTGCCCTGGCAGCAGCCAGAGATGGAGGAAGGAGAGAGGACAGGTCACTTGGATGAGGGTAGGAGAGAGGGCGATGTCGGGGAGCCCCTTCCCGGGGCCAGGCTGCAGGGGGACGGCAGGGAGTGCCCCTGGGTTTGCTGTTGCGGGTGCTCCTCCAATCCCAGGTCTGCCCTGGCTGGCTGGTGACCTTGGACAACCCCCCTTCCAAGCCCCCTTCTCTCTATGCCTCATCTGGGAAATGAGGGTAAGTAACTCTCCCTGCCTTCTGTGGAGGGGGTGGTTGTAGGGAGTCCTGGTTTGCAGGGTGGGGGACTGTTTGGACAAGGAGATTCCACGAGGTGTGGCAGGACTGTCACTGGGGTTGCCTGGACCCCGGGGCTGCCTCCTCCTTCCGCAGCCCCTCCCTGGCCAGGCCCTCCTCCAGTGGGGGTGGGGTGTCACTGCTTGTCTGGCAGCAGCAGCTAATTGTTCTCTTTAGACCCCTCCCTGGTGATGCCCAATGCTTGGGGCCAGCAGATTCAGCCCCTAAACCTGTCCAACCAGTTGTTTGGAAGAAGGGGGCACCTGGGAGGGGTGGAGTTGCCAGAAGCAGCCTCCCCCAGCCCAGTACAGACAACCGAGCCTCTGGGGCTCTGGACGCTGCAGACAGACCTCAGACAGACAAACGGTCGGACCCCTGGCTTGGCCATGGGGCTCAGTGGGGGACAGTCTCCGCTGCTGATGTGGCTGCTGCTGTCCTGCCTCCAGCTGGGGACCAGCCTGGGTGAGTGAGGGGCAGGGCAGGGGTGCCCACCGTGCTTCAGGCTTCTAGGAGACACTCCACCTCCCCCAGCTGCCTTCCGAGCCCCGAGTCTGGGAGCTCCATCTCCAGTGGGTCAGGGAAAACAGCCCACCAGAAGAGGTCCCAAGACAGACACCTGTCCCCCAACCCCTGATGGGGGGGAAGCAAACCCTAAACCTCTTTTAGGGTTCTCATCCCCACACGCCCTGAGCCCAGTTCTCACCAAATGTCTCCCCTCCTTCCAGTCTCCGAGGAGAGGTCTAAAGAAGCCTTCAAGGATAATGCTTACCCTTAAAGGAAGCTCTCCAAGGAGGGCTACAGGCATGGTTCTCTGTGGGGCTCTTAGATGGGAGCGACTTAGAGAGACAGTCCCCAACCCCATCCCCCTATCTCTGCTGCTCCACGCCTTTCCCCTCAGTAAGCGAATATTAAGTGCCTGCTGTATGCAGTGTGCACAGGGCCTCAGCATGAGAACTGGGAGCTCTGAGAAAGGAGGGCACTGGCCCTGAACCTTTGGAGTTGAGCTGAATTAAATGGAAATGAATCATATTGAACGTAACAGAACTGAAAGAAGGAGAAGGTTCCGGAGACTTCCATAAAGCCCACTCCATCTTTCTCTCCAGTATCTGAGTGTCACCGGGCTCTGTCAAGCGTCCGCCTAGAGTTTGGGTTTGGGCTTAGGCTCCCCCAAATCTTAGTCTCACCCCAATGCCTTCCTCCAAGAGAACTGTGCCTGCAGCTGGGGAAGGGGCCTCCTGTGCTTCCATCTCTCCTCCTTTCCTAGGTCCTGCCCATCACTGAGACCCCGGTGACTCAGTGGGGCAAGGCCTCCCCCTGACCTTCCACAGTGCACACCCCTACTAGGCGCCCAAGGCAGGGGCCAGAGGCTGGACTCAGGCTCCCCACCCACGCCCCACAGGCAGGAGCCCTCCTGATTAGTGCCTGACCAGAGGCCCCAGTAAAAGCCCTGTCTCCGCCCTCAGACTGGAGCTCCCGGGACAAGTCTGTGTCTCCCTCCTCAGACGGGGGCCTCCAGGACAACGACTCTCCTTCAGACTGGCCTCTGGGGGCTTGGGTGTCCTGTTGAGCCTCTTTTCTCTGCCCCCACCCTCCCCAGAGCGCATCGGCTATGTGCCCCAGCTCTCCAGCGCCACGCTGGCAGGGAGACTCACCCAGTCCACCCTTACGCTGGAGCAGCCTCGGGGCCAGTTCAGTCACCTCAACATCTCCGATTTTGATGCCATCTGGCTGGTGGTGGCCCACAGCAACGGTGGGTGCTGCTGGGGCAGGCCTTGCTTTCTCCCTCTGTGAAGTGGGCAGGTGGATCCGAGAGGGGTGGCAGATGTGGGGGCAGTGGGGGTAGGTGTCATCGGGGATGTAGCCACAGGCTGTCTGGCCTGGTGGGATGAGGTGGAGTGCGGCCCCCACCTCTGACCCACGGTGCCACCCTCAGCCTCCCAGAACTTCACTGCCCCACAGAGGGTAGAGGACACCCCAGTCCCTGCCAGCTTCTCCCAGAGGGGCTACTACCTCACGCTGATGGCCAATCGGGCACTCTACCCGGGCGACTGGCCCGGCAAGCAGCTCCGGGTCCTCCGTGTCGGCAATGATACCCGCTGCTCCCCCAGGACAAGGGGCTGCAACCACCCCCTGCCAGGCCCCGGCCCCTACCGGTGAGCGGCTCTGCCAGGGCCCTGCTGGGGTGGGCGTGCTCCTGCCTGGGGAAGCTCCAAGCTGGGAGCCTGGGGTCCTGGCTCCAGTTCTGCCCGTGGGAGGAGGGGTCAGGGGCCGGGGCCAGGGAGGCTGCGGTGAAATCTCCTGTCATCTTGAGCAGAGGGACCCCCAACTCGAGCCTTCGCCCCTATGGGCCATGTGGACCATGCAGACAGAGTCTCCCCATCCAGGCAGAGTGGGCCCCAGGGAGAGCCTGGCCCCAGCCCAGTCTCCTCTCATTCAGGGCTTGATTCTCCGATATTCTGTGCTGGGAGATCCAGTCCATTCCACACACATTTCCCAAGTGAGGACACTGAGGGTCCCAGAAAGGGCAAGGGAGGCACCCAAGGCCACACAGCTGGGAAGTGTCACAACTGGGATGGGAGCCCCTTCCTGTGGCTCTAACACTGTGCTTTTAGCTCTAGGCCGCTCCCTGAGGCCCTGGGAGTCAGAGGGACAGACTGACAGGTACCAGGGCTGGAGGGTTTCAGGTCCCAGGGACCCTAACCCCCAATACTGGGTCTCCTGTTCAGAATGAAGTTCCTGGTGATGAGTGACAAGGGACCCGTGGCTGAGACAGAGTGGTCCAGTGAGACCCGACTGCAGCAAGGTATGGAGCCAGGCGCATGGGTCAAACACTAGGGCTGGGGGCTCAGGGGCCTGGAGGTTCCTGAGGACAGGCGGTGGGCTGGGAGGAATGGGCCAGTCCCCAGCCAGGCAGCGCCACCACTGCCATCCTGCTGTCTGCAGGTGCCCCTCCCCCAGTCTGTTCCCTACCCAACCCACCGCTACTGTGAGAGAGAGTTGGTCTGGAAGCTGTTCCAGGTCCCCCTTCCTCAGGTCAGATCACTTTTCTCCCTTCCCGCCCCACATGCCTGTGTGGCCCCTCTCGCCCCTCAGCTGAGGCACTCCAGGCTGTCCCGGGGCCCCAGAGTGCAGGCACCGTGGTCATCATTGCCATCCTATCGGTCCTGCTGGCAGTCTTCCTCACCGCCCTCCTCACCCTGCTCATCTACACCTGGTAAGTGGACAGGGTCGAGACTGCCTGGGAGGGCTGGAGTCCCTGACCGAGGCATCTCTGTCCCTCCCCTGCTCCCCCTTGCTAGCCCCGCTGGAAGAGTTTTCCCTGAAAGTCAAACAGGGCTAACAATTGTTGATCAAGTGATCCCCAAGGTTCCAGAACCTCTATGTGTATGTGTGAGTGTGTGCGTGTGTGTGTGCACATGCGCGCATTAACCCCTCCTTCCCTTGTCCCTCTGACACCTGTTGGGGCGACGGACACACTTTCTGAGTGGGCACCACCTGCCCCCTGGTGGCAAGAGCTGGTATTGCAAGTTGGGGTGCAGAGCAGACAAGCCATGTGGGAGACACCCAGGTGGAGGTAAATTGCTCTTAGTCCAAGAGCTGAGTTTTGCCTCAAGATTTCACTCAGAGCTTGGATGCTGGGGCCTGGTAGGGAAAGGGTGTCCACAAGGCTTCCTAGAGGAAAGGGAACATCTGGTCCTTGGGGAGGATTTGGGGAGAAGGGGGAGGGAAACAGATGGGGAGAGTCTGGAGACAGAAGGTTGCGGACAGGCTGGGGCCTTGATTCCCAGTTGAGGAAATGGGCTGGATCCAGAAGGTCAGAGGCAGCCAGTGGCTGGTTTTGATCAGGGGAAACAGGCAGCGATGTGTAGCGGCATCCCAGGGTGTGTGGAGTGGAGGAGGAGAGTGTGGGGGCTGGGTGGTGAAAGAGGGCAGGGAGGCAGAGCTGGATTTGTGAGGTTTAGGGGGATAGAGCTCCAGGCTCTAGGTAACAGCCATGGGATTTCAATCAGGCCTGTTGGTCTTTCTTGCCCCTCTCCCCTACAACCGCCGCCAAGCTACGACACCTGCGGGAGCACGCCCATCTCGGGCCCAGGGGAGGTGGTGTGCGGGAGAAGATATGACACCCACCACGTGTGCAGCCCTCCAGCCGCGGGGGGCTCCTGAGGGGCTCCAGGGGGCCCCCATTTTGCTGCTCAGCCTCACCCTGCAGAGCCTGGTCTGGGGGCCTGCCCTGCTGCTTCAGAGCCCTGGGAATGTTTCCAAAAGAAGGTTGAGGGGAGGGTGTCCTCAGCCCACAGCTTGGGCCTGTCCCTGATGGAAATAAACGTCTGCAGCACCCCCCGTATGGCTGGGTCAGTGCACACCTGGGCAGTCTCCCTGCGTCCCTGTCCCCAGCTCCTGTGCGGGTTCTCAGGAGGATACAGCACCAGGGTGGAGCCCAGGGCCCCAGGCCAGCAGAGCCATCGGGGGCAGGGCAGGCCTCTCTTCTGGCCTCAGTGTCCCTAGCTGTAAAGTGAGCGTGACTGCACTGACCCCCCAGGGCCCGGTGAGGCTAAACCAAGGAGATGACTGTGCTCACTGCTACCCCTCCCCCCAGCCTCCTCTTTGTGGCCTCTCTCTCCAGCTGGCCTCGCCTCCTGGCTGGAGGACTTAGAGCTAAGCTTCATTCCCACCCCCGTGCTCATTCTGGGGATGTGGTGCTTGGTGGTGAGGCTCAGCCCAGAGCTGACTCTGGCCTCAAACCTAACACAGGGCACTGAGCACTTGGCATCATCCTCCCAACTCCAGGCTGCCTACCCCCAACCCCGGACCAGAGATGACCCAGGCCAAGGTTCTACCTTCAAGTCATCCACCACTGTGGGATAAGGAGAGAAACATTCCAGGATGGATAGAGTGCAGATGTTTGGGAGCCAGAGGAGGCTTCCTGGGCAGGGGTGGCCTTGGAGAAGGGGCTGCACTGTGCCGAGTAGACACTGGAAGGACACCCAGGTGTGAGCAACAATGTGTGCAAAGGCCTGGACGCCACCCCACCAAGGAGTGCTGGGGTGCAGGTTGGCAGCAGCTGGAGGGTGGTGTGAGGGACAGTGAGGAGACCAGGAGATGCCCCTTGCTCCATGGGGGCCTCACCCTCTGGGGCAGGGAGCAGGGATGGAGGGCGCTGGCTGGGTGCCCAGGTGCCTGTGTCTGAGAGGTACGATTGGCCCTAATGGGTTTATTAAGTTAGTGCAGACACATCCGGCTCCTGCTGTGGAGGAAATGCTCACATGACCAGAGTGGAGCCAGGCTGGGAGGGGCCGGGAGGGGAGGGGGCACACAGCCTTCCAGCCTCTGCCGAGCTAAGCCTCAGCCTCTCCATTGCCTTTTCAGAGCAGCCATGAGCCCCAACCCTGGGGCTGGGTGGCTCTGGACAGATCACTTACCCTCTCTGGGCCTCAGTCGTCCCCTTATGTAAAAACGAGGGTTGAACTGGGTAACTCTAAGGCCTTGTACTCCATCGACACCCTGTATGGGTCGAGCCCTGACAGGAAACAGATGGCATACTGTCTATCAGGGCACTTGAGAGCATTTACAAAGGTGTGGGCAGCATATTAAGGGAACCAACCAGAGAGGGTGACCCAGGGCACTAATGGGGCCATAAACACTCCTGTACCCGAAGGGCTAGTGGTGTTTCCAGAGCCAGGGAGCAGGAGCCATGGGCAAGGGTCTGCCCGGCAGGAGGAGGGGCTGCAGGTGGAGGAATCTGGGGGGTCCCTTCTCTGGCATTCTGATCATGTGCTGGGGCCTCTGCTGACAGCTAACCAGGAGTGGGGGGGGGCAGGGCATCTGGATGGTGTGGTCCACATGCCAGCCTCCTGGGCCCAGAGCAGGACAGAGAAGAGCCAAGAATGAAGTTCAAGGGTCCTGTGATCTGTTTCTTATTCATAGAACTTCTGACACCAAATGTGTGGCTTTTCCTCCCACCAACCAATTCTCCAACTCTCTGGACACCAGCTGGGTGTCCTACAGTTGGAGTCAATTCTGACACTAACTCCCTGGAGGTGAAGGGCCCAGTCCCACAAGATGGTCCCCACCTCAGATGCCAGCATCAAGTACAGGGTGCCCAGGGTACCCACACTTCCTTCTGTTTAACTTGGTTACAAATCAGTGATTCCCATGACCCCTTCCTCAGATTTGATAATTTGCTAGAACAGCACACGGAACTCAGAAAAACAGTTAACTTACTATTACTGGATTATTATAAAGGATATGACTCAGGGAGGACAAAACAGAAGAGACACACAGGGCAAGGGATGGGGGCTGTCCCCCTCCCCCTAGGCTCCCACTGGAACCTCAGCCATGCCTGGCTCACTTTCCTGGGCTCTTCTGGGGCCTGGGAGGCCAGGGCTGGCAGCAGCGGAAGGCCTGGGCCAGGGTGGCTAGTCCCATAGCGATGCTGACCGTGATCCCTGTGGAGCAGAGATGGGGCCTCAGCTCCGGAGCCGTGTAGGGAGACCTGCTCTCAGGGAAAGCCATGTGGGGCAGCGTCACCAAGCTGTCCTGGCATGAAGTGACATCCAGTGGGCCACGTGTCACCTGATATCAGCCTGATAAATGGACAAATGGATCGGGGAAGAGGACTTGCTGCGTCCCGCCACCTCTTCTGCCCAGTTTCCCTGGCGCGCACTCTCTCTCCGTCCCCTCTCTTAGGTTTCTCTGCCTCTCACTCTCTTTTGTCTCTATTTTTAACTCTGACCAGCCCTGGGAACTCTCCCACTTCCTGCGGGGAAGCTGTCTGAGCTGGCCCGGAGACGGCATGACCGTTTCCCCATAAACACGAGATAGAATCAGAAAGCTGGCTTCTGCTCCAGGTTTGGGCTCAGTAGGGAGAAAGGGCAAAAATGGAGCAGAAACGAGGGGGAGAAAGACTGCATGTGTCAGGGATGGGGGATGTTCGCAGCCCATCACCCCAGCTGTTGGCACAGAGGGAGTCACCCTGGGCCCTGCCCCCATGCCATTTGCAGCCTCCATGCTCCCCATCTCCATGCCCTGCCTCCTCTCCAGACACCCAGTTGTCCCCTGCACCAGGTGGCCCCCGGGGGCTATTCTGCCCCGTCTTCCCCACAAGTGTGTATTTGTACCCCCTGTTTAGCATGGGTCCAAGGCTCTCCTAGGAAGGCTGGCTCACACAAAAGGGCCTGAAGACCAGGCATTGCCAGAAGCCAGGCAGGCAGGAGGGGCTGTGAGGCCCAGGAGAGGGTGGATCAGCTGGTCTGGAGTCTGCTGGGTACGCCGCTTCCGGGTCTGAGCTCCCTGGAGGGTATTCCCACCTGGGGCACAAGGATGCAAGATGTCACCTGAGAGAGGGGTCTCTCCAGGGTCCCAGCCACCCTGTTGGAGGCCCCTCCCAGAAGGAGAATCCACATGGAGGGATTGGCCTCTTTGGCCACCCAGGACCCACTGGTTAGCCCCAGGCCAAGATGTCAGCGGCTCCCCCGGTGCCCCTGGGGACTGGCAGGGATGCTGGGTGTTGCAGGGGCCATGTTGCTTGCTGGGTGGGTTTGAGCTGCCCAGAGTCAGGCCTGAGATTCCGGGGACATCCTGATGGCCCGAGGGCTCACAAATGCTGTTCCTTTTGTCCTGCTGCTGTTCCCATCTCCTGCGTCATCACCTGGAGCCCAAATCCTCCTGTTCCTTGAAGTGCAGCTCGAATGCTGCCTTCTCCTTATGGCTGCCTGTCGGGGTTGGGGGGTACCGCCAGGCCAGCGCCCAACCCCTGCCTCTGATCTGAGTAGCAGCCGAGGTGGTCCCCTGCCCTTCCCCCACTCCCACCCCCAGCTTCCTCAGTGGGAGGATGAGGCTGGGCGTTTCCACTTTTTTCTGGAAGGTTCAGGAGATTAATGAGAACAAAGCACGAAACACCACTCAGGGGGATGAACTTCTGGGAAGTGAGGAACTGGGTCTGGGCAGAAAGCCAGGGGCAGAGTGGTCACCTGACAGAACCTGATCACCTGCTGCCCCAGGGCCACGGCTTGGCCCCTCTGCCCAGCCATCAGACCAGAGGCCCTCTCTGCCTCGACAAGGCAGGAGACCCCTTCTCTTCCCATCATGGACCTACTCCAGCCTGGGCTGTTTGGGAGGTGGACTCTCAGGGCCTGGGGAGGGTGGCCGACGTGGCCATGGTTGTCCCCAGCTGGCCTGCCTAGAGTCTAAAGCTCCATTGGCTGGGGTGAAGGCTTCAAGCAGAACAGAAGTAGAGACGCTAGGAGGGACAGTGGGGGTCCAGCCGGGGCAGCTAGGGAGGGGGACCCCAGTGAACTGAGGGCCAGGGGGCACCCAAGTGCAGGGGTCCCCAGTGCCCATGTAATAGGGAAGAACCTTTGTATTCTATTAAAGTTAGTCACTAGAGGGATGTTGCCTATAAGCTTAAATTACAC